AAGAGTGAGATGAAGATCACTACTCTGGTTGTTCTTGAAGTCACCAACTTGTGGGTTATTCTTAAGGTCATCAGCCTGAAAGTACTTGTATGCAGGTCACTAGCCTTGGGTTGTTGGAAGGTCACCAACCTAGAATTGTTTCTACTTAGGGGAAGTAGAGGATACAGAGAGAAGTGAAGAAGGTATTACTTACTTTTAGTCAGGAAGCTGATTCAAGTGCAAGAAGTTTATCACCAGTCTTACTTTATAAGACTCTTGATATTTACTTCAGTAGAACTTTAATGGTTCTTTGGAAGCAGTGTGTAATAAAATGCTTGGGGGGAAATCCTTGAAGGCTGAGAGAGGAGGGGTTTATATACTCTCCTCTCTAAACCTAACTGTAGTGATATTTGTTACTATCACTACATTGGTTCAGGGTTAATTGTTACTAAATCATAATGTTATGATTATTACTAGCAATGCTTGATTACATATACATGTTATGTATAAAATGTAACACCACGGGAATTATTATGTCCGAGACCCGATTGAGCGAAGTTGTGGTGTGCGAGTCCGCAATAAGTCTCAATTTTTGGATTGAAACCTATTAAAGGCAAGGGGGGGACCTTGGATTTTAATAGGTTTCAATCCAAATTTGAGACTTATTGTGAACTCTGTCACCACATTAAGTTTCACATATGATTGAACCTAATAGATGCCCGTGGTGTAATATAAGCATTTTAACTCTTGACACTGAGTTATCAGGTGTAAATGGTGTTTTATTACATATTACATGTAGTTTTAAGTGTACATGTATATGTAATAAGTGTTTTGGTACATTGTATTACATGTTACATACAGTTCAAGCTCATTATGTAACATGTAATTAGGTACATGCATATGTACTCAGGGCTGACAGCTGGGCTACAGCCCTAATTCAGATGGGCAGACAGCTGAGCAGACCTGTATGTACATGATAGGCAAATATCAACTAAGCCTGCTGCACATATGTAGTGTGTGTGTTATGGCTCATGAGGTGAGCAGTGATGGATCCTTTTATTAAAAGCTACACTCTCAAATTCAATCAATCTCCCCTTCTCACTTGGGGAAATTGAATTATGTGTACAGTGATATTGGGGTCTTTTTCCTGTAATACCACCAAATTTCTGATGTCATCATATGACATCATAAATCTGTACACACCTGCTCATGTATTCACAGATCAAGAATATATAGTCTATTAACCTTTATCACGTCAATTGACTGAGTTATTGAGGTTTTAAAAAAAACGGATAAAACATACTATCTTTGCACTGTACACAACACCACAATTGCTCCACAATGCTATGGATTTTGGGCTCTCTCCGTTGTGTTGCAGAGATTGTGCTATAAACCTCTCCGCAGTGCCATCACTATTTTTTTTGTCTCATGTTGGGTTATGTATCCAAGTGCAGCGGTGTCAAGACACCACTACCACAAAACATTCATCTGTCAACTCCTGTACCGGATTCTGAGGTTCACATTGAAGAATACCGTGCGCCAGTAGGGATATTGAATTTATTATCTGTCCAAACACGACCCAATATTGGGTTTGCAGTTAGCTATATAGCCAGGTTCAATTCTCACCACAACAACACTCATCGGGTGGCAGTCAAACATCTTTTATGGTACCTCAAATTGACAATGAATTATGGTCTAATCATAGGAGTCAATTGAGGGGTTTGCTGATGCATATTATGCAGTGGATGTGAATACTAGGTGCTCTACAACTGTGTTTGTATATTATGTGAAGGGGTCTTTGGTTTCTTGGAAAAGTAGAAGGCAACGGTCTGTGACACTTTCAACAACCAAAGCTGAGTATCTTGCAATTGGTGGTTGTGCTAAACATGGTTTATGGCTATGTAGATTTTTGGAGCACTTATCATACACTGATCCAATTACAGTTCCTATTCATTCACCAATTCCAAATAATAATCAAGGCACAGTGTTGTTGTGTAACAAAGTTTTGGTCAACAACAAGTCTAAACACATTGATATTTGACATCACTTCATTAGGGAGCGTTTACTTGAAGGAATAATTTATGTTTTGTGTCGACCAAGGAGATGCCGGCAGACATACTTACCAAACCTGTTGGGCCACTGAATCTATTATCATGCTCTGAAAGACTAGGTCTTTTGTTAAAAAACTCTTGTGAGCAGGTGGGCTGTTGGATTAATAATCACTCATATGAGTTTCCTGAATCAACTCAATCAAGTTTTCTATCTATTCGTGAATATTTCACCATTTTTTAAGTATTGTTTTACAAAACTAACCTCACCACAAAGTGTATTGGTTTGTCAATTCTCTTATTTATAACTTGTGTATTGCTGAAAGCTTGTTCTTCATCATTCAAGCTTCCATTCACCAAACACAAAACCTCATCCCTCATATATCCCTACTGCTTGTCCACATTAGATATTTAGACTGAGTTCTTCTGTTTTTTGGCTTCTGATCAGGTATGATTGTGTTCTATTTAGTTTTGTTTCTTATGCTTTCATTCATAATAATCATTCAAGCTTTCATTTACCAAACACAAAACCTCATCACTCATATATCCATAGTGCTTGTCTGTGTTAGATATTTAGACTGAGTTCTTCTGTTTTGTTCTGTTTGATTCTGATCAGGACTCTGAGAGTCCTTTACAAGGTCCAATTGATATCCATGATTGCATCAATTTTTTGTCCTCAGTGGTTTGAAACAGTATTTGGGAGTGTTGAAAGTGCAATTTAAGCACACTAATGGCCTGCTCAATTGGATTGAGATCTGGCGAGTAAGGCGGGAGGTACAGGACCTGTATTCCTCTTTTGGCAGTGAGGTCAGCAATACGACCCTCATGCTAGATTCTTGCATTGTCCATAACTACAACTGAGTTTGCTTGGGATTATGGGTTCATGACCGGAAACTAACCAAAGTAAACAGTCAATATAAGTGATGAAGGATAGATCAAAAGACAGATATATAAAATTAAGACTCACCAATCAATGTTTGAGGAAACCCTCAAAAAAATCTCAAAGGTTCCTTCCCGGAAGGTGAGATTCAAAACCCCACCTCCAAAAATAGCTGATGGGTGTGAGAAAAATTTACAGTCAAAACCGTGCAATCACATAATTTGGGTGGAAGCCTTTTGCTATGCACTTTTTACGGGTTATGCATTTCTGTTGTCAAATTTGGCAATAAAAGGCATCAATATTAAGAATTCTTTCTATGTATTATCACAGGTTATGCAGCTGTGCGGGTATGCAATTGCGTGGGTTTGACTGTACCTCCACATCTTCAAGGAATTCATGTTGTGTGTTTGCCTTGTCTTGTGTGGCCAAACTGCCTGCTAAGGTATCTCTCCTGGATTACACACTTGTCTAGGGTTGGGTTCATAAAAAGGTCAGATGTGAACAATTATGGAATGGAAAATGAAATAAACAACGGGGAAAAAAGGAAAGTGACTGACCTAGAAAGCAGCACATTGGGGGTCAATGCGCCAACAGTATGTAGAGACTTACATTGCTTTGTTGCACTCTGACTTGGGTGTACCATTGGCGCTTTCTTGAGGGTCGGATTCAGTCAATCCTTTACATGACACAAGATAGTCTGAAATGATATCCAGGTTCCGGTTCAGCAATAGAGTTCATGGCAATACTCCTCCAGGTATAGAGCTGGATTGCCTTTGAGCAGCTTCTACATGAAGTCAAAGTCTGCTTCAGTCAAGTTGGTGTCTATTCCAAGGTGCTGGTATTTGTCCGGGTTCTGAATGGCTGATTGGGTTATTTGATACAATACATGCCATTGAGATGCTGTTCAGCTGACTGGAGATCTCAAAAGCCGCCACACTTAATCAATTGTTTTACCTTCACAAAGGTACTGGACAGCCAGTACCTTAATCCCAGCATCATATTTACAGGGTCGCAGGTGTGGCTGTCTCATGTCTAGACGCAGGGGTACCAGAAAATTCTGATCAGCTTTGATTGGTGACTATGGAGGAGGGGAGAATGGACAAACCAAGGGGTGATGGAAGGGTGCGTGCAATGTGCGGTCGCTGGATGAAAAATTTTCCACATTGCAATGTGATATCAATATCTGGATGGGAGAGGTCAGGTTTGGGGTTTGACCTAATCCACAGCCTGCAGTGCTGCACATCGGCTCATGTATACTGGGTAAAGGTAAAATTCATGCAAATATGACGTGAATTTCTTGAATACCTGTATCAGAATTTTATCACAGAAAATTTCTCCCAATTGTCTGGTACTCCCAATAGAGCAGTCCCTGAAGCTGTTGGTAAATCACAAATGTTGCTAGTTGCTGTACTACTACCGGCGTGTACAGGTCACATACATATGTAAAGGCAACATGTAGACTTTTTTCCATTTGGGTTCTAATACATAGCTATATTACCAAATGAAACTTGTTCTCAAGACCTCATTAAAAGATGATCATCAAAGTCACTCATTCAATATCATTCAATATCAACCAAAGAATGACGATGAGGATGATGAAAGGTAACAATGTGGATTTGCTTGGGATAGATCATTATGATAATTATTTGATAAGAAACAAAGAAGGTTTAGCACATTGTAAAGACAAACTGAGGTATTCAAACATTTGATTTCAACTACAGCGGAGAAGCACTACCAGAGTACTTGTAATTAATTGTAATGATAATAATATGATAAGCTGATCGATTTGTAGACTGATCTAAAGCAGATGGATTGAGAGTGAATTTTGACAACAACACAAATATAAAAGGCAATGAATGACAGGGAGAACTTGTGATAAAACTTGGAAAATATTGCTTCGAACGCAAGGGTCATGTAACTGAATCGCACGGAATCAACTCTTGATGTAAATTCTTTCCAGAAGACTCTTACTTAATTCCTGAGCGGTGGTCTGTGTATTGATGGGATTCTTAAAAAGATGAGATTTAGAAGGAGAAAGACGCGACATCAGGAAAAGGTCTCATTATTCAGTCAAGCAAAATACTCCACACACCTTAATTGCGCGCACTCTGGAGCTTAGCGACCGTGAAATCCGTAGCTTCTTTCTCGCTGCTTGACCCTGGGTACGCCAAGTGAGGCCTGATGGAACCAGAAGTTTGACAGATCGAGTCACCTGTTAAGCAACAATCAAAAGTGATTGAGGAAAACTGCGTTGGCATTTTAATACCAGTGGCAGAAGCAATGCCCGATCCAGTTTTCTGTTGATCAAAGTAAAGTTGTCAGAAGAAAAGGCCCATAGAATGGAAAAAAGTATGGAAAGCGTTTGGAAATAGTGCGAAGTACTCACGGCTGAACATGAATTTTGAGGCGCGCCAGATGTGAAATAAGGATTTCCGTATAAAACCATTGCAACGACCAAATCAGAAGGAATTGCTAGATTTCTCATTGTCTGCGTCACTACCATGGCCTATTACCGAAAATTGGGGAAAGGGTGGATCAATTTAAAAGTAATAAGAACATATCGTAGAAAGATTCAGTCAACCTACACCTTCGGAATATCCAATCAAAACGTAAATTTGGTCAGGACATTGGCTTTGTTGTTGTTTCAAGTATCGATTTGCATCAGTAGCTCCTTGCACTGGTCCTCTGGCGTAATCTGTGGTCGCCGGATACACGACCTCATAGTTCTCACCACCAGGTACAGCACTCAACACTCCGTTGATCAAACCACGATAGCCGGTGGGCCGGGTTTGACTCTCACCCGTACCTCTTGCACTACAAATTAAACGTGCAGTCGAAACCATAGTGATTGTATAACAAAAGGGTCAGCTATCCGATAAAGAGACCAAGAAACTAGAAAAAATAGTAGCAAAAAGACAACGGAGAGTAGAAAATTCAAGCCTTACCTAACGATCTTGTAAGTGGTACATCCAGACTCACTTCCACCCCCCATTAAGGGTGTGGCAATCATAACTTCCAAGAAGCTAAAGCACATAACAAGATTAATTAAAATGTTGATAGGGTTCATCTTATCTTGCGTAAAAAAGGATGACTTCGCTCGAATATATAAATAAAATAATTAAAAGTACGGAAATGAGCTTAAGAAACGTTACGGCTATTAGTATAACGACGAGTGATTTGAAACTTTTATTGAAAAGAAGAACGTCTAGCACTTCCTTCACTGCAAGTTTTCAAGATTATAAGTTAGGGATTATAAATATATTGATTATGTCGAAGGAGGATATTGAGAGGTGATGCAAAGTACGAAAAGGTTTGAGGTAGAACGCAAATAGTCAAAGACTATTGGGCTTTTTATGGAATTGACATTAACAAGTTAATAGATTGAATCCATGCCGCAGCTTCTCATCTTGCCATTGTCTCGGTGTCCGAGTGTTTGGCTATACAAATTGAAAAATGAAAGAGTACACCAAGTCTGCGATGGTACTCCGCAGTCCATTCTGAATGGCAGGGCGGTTGATATAGAGGCTAAGCACACCATGGCCTAGGACCGAACTCGGCACGAAAAATTCAGACCGAGGAATCTTGGCAAACTCTCTCGCTGGACCCTACCATTTCGCTCTAGCGGAATCCTCATAGTGATATGTTTAAGGATCGCGCTATTCCGACCCCCCCCAGTTTGCTAGTCAGACCCCCCCTCCGACCCTAGGCCCGCTTAGGTAGCCTTAAGCAGCTTACCTAACAGCCTCGACAGTGTGCCCGATGCATTCTACATAACCTCATCATCCTCAAGATGATGGCTTTAGATGTAGAACATGATGAACTGACCTGAGAGGATTTTGAGGGCTCTGAAATTTGATGACAGTCATTGTTTTCTCAAAGATGCGAGTAATCAAATGTAACAATTATAACTTCTAAAAACATGATTTGGTGTAAAAGAGCATCAAAATCGAACACGATCGAGCTACTGTTGTAAATTTTGGGTGAACGAAGATAATAAATTTGAGTGAACAAAGGTAACAAAGATAGTGTATGTAGTTGTAGTGAGGATAGTGATCGAGTGATCTTGAGTAACAAACAAACAACTAATCTATTGTGATCGGTTTGAAGGATGGACATCGAGCTAATTTGAAGTGAATCACCCTCTGTAAGTGCAAGTACGGGCATTATGGCCTGTTTCTTTACATTTGCCACACTTTGGACCTGGAGCCCCCAACTCGGCTGCAACGTGTTCATGACGCGATTTGAGTCGCTTGGTCGTTCTCAAAGGTCGTCCACGAGTTTGTATTGGTTCGGGCTCGTGGATTGTGTCGGAAGGATTCTGGAGAATCAGCTCCAGTCGGTCCTCAAAGAGACGCTTTTGATGTGGTGGTAATTGGGTGTATTGAGCTTGGATGTGTTGTAAAACTGTAGGGAGTCCAACTCGCTGGATTGAAACCACTGGATGCTTTTGTTGAAGATGCCAGTGAGTATCAAAGTGGTCAATTGTAAGCCTGCTTCGAGAATCAATCAGGTGCTTCAAAAAATGAGAGCACGGAAGTCCATGAGAGCTTGAGAATACATATGTACATGGAGTTTTGTAGTTCGGGAGGATTGCTTTCCGGTATTCTTCGTAGACCTGGTTATTTTGAAAGTCAATTATTGGATCAGACCCAGAGGTGGTGGAGTGTTGACTTACTTTACCCAGCGCATAATGCGATATCTTTCGATTGACATTGGTCCAGAACGCTGCTCCGAGACGAGTCAGCGAGTGAGACTTCTGATTCTCGATCTTTTGAGACACTTTGTGTCGTTGAAGCTTGCACGCAAGGACGAGCCTATCGTATACAGTAGCTAGATCACCCGTTGAAACCGATATTGAGATTTTGATGTTTGCATGTGCCCCTTCAGCGCGAGACGTGACTGTATGACCAAAATGTCTGACATCTTTGGTCCAGGCAAGTACAAACATTTCTTTGTATGGGATCCAGGTTTTCATCAGATAGTTAAAAGCTTCGTTGGTGATCTTTGATTGGAGGATTTGTAGTTGGTCTTCAAAGCTTTCGGGAGACATCGAATTACATACGAGTCGCCACTCGGAAAGGAAAGCGTCCCAATCCTTGTCCGACATGCCCTTCTTAATGTTTGAAAGGATATTTTTCTCGATGTGCCACATGCAAAGGAGGTTCTTGGCATTTGGAAACACGTTCTTTATCGCTCGCATGACTGCTAGCTCACGATCCGTGACCACAGCACCTAGCTTGGTCAATTGTGATCCAAAGCATATCTTCAAGTGCTCCAAAGCCCAATTATAGTGCTCTTCAGTTTCTTGTTGCATAAAGCAAAAGGCCAAGGAGAGCGAGTTATGTGTTGGAGAGACTCCCACAATATGCAAGAGTGGCATATGGTACCTTATATAAACAAAAAGACAAAAACCCATCAGCTAGAGTTCATCTTTGGGTATGAGGGAGGTGAGAACTTACTTGTTTGTCTTGTAGGTTGAATCCATCAAGAGAATATCACAAGTGGCGAGCTCCTGTGCATTTAATACACAAACTTCTGGAGCAATGAACAGACAGGTCAAAGACCCTGATGAATTTCTTTGGTAAGCATGATATACACCCTCAGTTTGAAGTTTGTCGAGTAGAGCTTCAAGGGATGTCCGGTGCTGAAGGATCTGGTTACGAAATTTTTGCTTGAGGTTGTAGATATCGTGTGGTGTTGCTATGATAGTTGGGTCGGAAGCTTTCAGCGTGCTCAAGATAACTGAGGGACTGGCACCTCCTTTACACATGTCAATGACCGTTTGTTGCTGTTCATCCGTGAGGCGTCGTGCTCCTGGTATGTCGGCTAGTGTCTTTGAAGGTGGGTGATTGTGTGTATTATTGATTATCTTCACACTCCAATCAAGAGTTGTTGAGTTCCTCAAAATTTGACATGACCAATGGCAATTGATCAAGTGGCTAGACGTTTGTCAAATCTGATCTTCATTCGGCTGATAAAGACCTCCGTGTGTGCAGAACAAAACCACCTTGCGTACTTCATTTTTCTTGTTTTTTTTTGAACGTTTTCTTTTGAGGAAGTAACCAGAAGCAGTGGCACACTCTTGCAGTGCATCTTCAGCCTCTTCCAGGCTTGGGTAGACTGAGAGGAGGGCGTCCAGATTCATCGGTTTGGAAGGAGGATCATCTAAATCAGACAAGGTTGACTCTTGGTGGGTTGGCTGTGAGGTAGCACCTGTTAAGGAAGGGTCAATGGCCATGGTGGTGGAAATGTTTATGTTGATATTGGTGCACATTGATTTGCATCAGGAGGCAAAAGACAACTTCTCAACTCTCGGGCACACTGTCGAGGCTGTTAGGTAAGCTGCTTAAGGCTACCTAAGCGGGCCTAGGGTCAGAGGGGGGGTCTGACTAGCAAACTGGGGGGGGTCGGAATAGCGCAATCCTATGTTTAATTGGACGACAAAATGTATGTCCTCCACAAGAGCAGCCTGTCACCCTGTGGGGCCCTAGCTTAACACAAGCCCCCCCAAACCTCCGGAGCCTGCGGAGGGGGGGCTTGCGCCTTATACACGAGTTCTCGCGTGATACCCTTTGTAGTTTGGCTGGGACTAACTTCATCCTTCCATATCACTGTTTTACACAATTCAAGTGTTTGAAGTAACATGATGAAATTGTAGATCTTTGTCTTCCTGATCTTTTGTTCTATTCAGATTCTTCTTAATCGCTTCGGAGCTCAAAATTGTAAAGGAGCTCTTGTTTGAGAGTTTCAAATTTCAATTTCTGAGCTTGCTGCGACTACAGGTGATCATACATATACTTGATTCTTTTGAGTGTCTAAAAGGTTTTGGACAAGAGAATAGTTTCAACCGTCAGCGCAGTTGTTTGATCAAGCAAGATTAATGTTACAGTCTTCAGTTCTCCACTGAAGACTACAAATACAAATAAACACATCTGGATTTTGGAAAGGAAGAAGTACAAGATGCAGCGGAACAACTTGGCTGATTCAGAAATGTTTGTTGTCTAGTGGTGAGTTGAGTAGCTTAGATGGAGTCGAAAACGGCCAAAAAAACACAAATTTCAAAAAGGGTACCAGGCAAGGAGACGTGTATAAGTCGTAAGTCCCTCCTCCGCAAGCTCCAGGGGACGCGCGCGGTTTGAGGAGGTACTTAGTTAAGTTAGTGTGGGGCCTGTTCCAGGTAGATAATCCATGGATATACCAAAGTTTTAAGAGCATCTGCACTCGTTTGCGGTTGTTAATTTGGTCACGTGCGGTAACAAACACAACATTAAGTAAAAAGTTACTTAACTCAACCAAATTTCGCACTCGTTTGCATTAGCAGCGCTGTAACTTTTATAACTTTACAGATAGTGCATGTACTCCGCACCGGTCGTGCAGTAAGAGCATCCACTATGGGTGCGTTAACGATGTGATTTAGCGTTAGAATAACGCTAAAATCCAGACAGGTCTACTATGGACCTGTTTTAGACATGCGGTCCGTACGACTGCGTCAAATCTTGCACTCCCCTTGTTCAAATCTACGCAAGCCTACGACTTGATTTATCGTAGACTTTTGGTGCATCAAATCGGTCAACAGCCATCAAATGATCTATCTGTATCCATCCCACTCTGCACTCACCACCTTCAATCAAAATCTTCCCTTGTCCCTCAAAATCACAGCTTGTTGATGGTAGCTGTTTACTCTGAATTTGCTAAAAAAAACGCATTTTGTTTTAAAAAAAAAGTGATTCCGTGCGATTGATTTCACCAAGATCGAGCAAGATGTGAGAAAGCTCGATGCTCATTGTCAACACCTGAAGCCATCATTTTGGTTCTTTCTGGCTACCAAGGTAGTCATCATCATAGAAGTGAGCTGGGTGAGGCGTGGTAAGATACTTCAATTCGAGTCTCGACTTTGCCATAGCGTGTATAGTGTTCTAAGAACAGATTATCGTAGTTAAATCCTACGTTACATCATCCCATAGTGGATTTCATGCGGTTAACAACTTAGCTACAACACGCATGATTAAATTTTGCGATCAGGACCGCAAAATTTACGATAAAACACCCTCAACATAGTGGATGCTCTAAGGTAAAGTTTTAATTTTTTGAGTACACATCACCTGCTTTCATGGCCAGTTTTCATGTGATAGAGGCACTGTTCTCTTCTTTGCACTAAGATACTAATACTCCATCTACACATGAAGACCCGATATCATCCTGTTCATCTACTCGATCGATAGATCTTAATTTAAAATTACAAATTTAACATGAGTTTGTTCAGATCTTAATACATGAATTCCAATTAAAAAACAAAGGCTTTACTACATCGAGAAAGCTTTTAATGAGTCTGAATACACATAATGATCTTGTAAAAGATTTAAAGATTTAAAACTAGGAAATAAAAATCCAAACTTCAATTTTTAATTTGTATCACTTGATCCTAAAAGTCCTCCAATGATTGGTCTTTTAATGTTGATTTTCTTAAATATTGACCTCTACATAGCTATATGAATCTAGACATCTTTCATTTTCATCTGAATGGTTTGGAGTCGAGTTCAAGATGGTTGATTGACTTATTTCAATTGAAGACATCGATCGGTGTCGAACGTTCTCGAGTTGATTCATGCAACTGTAAGGCTTGGAATTCATCGTGTGTGAGTGGTGAAAAGGAGATATTGGTTGTTGACTTTGGTGTTGGAGGTCTGGTTGAGTTTTGTTTTTGGAGTCGAGTTGCCGGGAACAAGTCGTGATGTGTGATACCGCATGCGTTAGCCAATTGGTAAATTTACCGATTCGCTAACGCAAAATGACCGAAAATTAACTACCGCGGGGCTAATTTTTCACCGGTGTGGAAAAGACCCCGCGTTTGCGGTAAATTTAACCTTACCGCACCCGACTTACCGCACGAGTGCGGATGCTCTAATGAAGCCATACCGAAAGTCTTACATACAACTTGCCTGGAGTGCCTCGTGGATCCACTGGAGGAGGGATCATGAAGTTAATGATGTAGTCTGAATCATTTCCTGTCTTTTGTCTTTCTCAGTCGCATTTTCATTTTGCTCACCGAGCATTTGAAACAAGACCCCGGGAGGGCACTGGCCTATATTGACCCGGATCCACGAGCTGCTTGTAAATCTACCAAGTACCGACCTCTACGGGCCACCTCCATATGTAAATGTGACAAACAATTCCTTTTGATCCGAACAACAATCCATGAAACTTCTTCTCAAGACCTCATTCAGCATCGTCGATCATCAAAAAACCAACCAAAATGTCAAATAAAAGACCATCACCACTAGACCAACCTTCGCCAGCATTTTCACCACCATTCTCACCAAGTACACCATTAGCATCATCAGCTTATTCACCAAAAGCTTCTAATTCTAACATCGGTCGTCGCAGAAGTAAAACCAATAAAAGAAGAAAGAGTAGTCAAATTAAAGATGATCAACCAAACCAACCATCAAACCTTAATCTTAACCAGAACCAGAATCAACAACAGCAACAACAACAACAACAACAACAGGATGATGAAGATGAAGAAGGTGAAGGTGATGATGATGATTTACTTGGGAAAGATCATGATGATGATTATACGATAAGAAAACGAGAAGATTTAGCTCATAAAGACAAACTAAGGTACGTTTCTTTCTTTTTTGGAAAACTTCTAAAACCTCGATGATTTGATTTCTTCATTTGTATCAAACTTAATGACCATTTGATCTCGGATTAATCTTTCTTTAGAGTCTTACTTGATCATTTCGATCCACAACAAATGGATAGATACACAGAGTATAGAAACTCAGGATTAGCAAAAGGAAGCGTTAGAAAAGTAAATCTTCAATCTTCCATCTCCCTCCCACATAATCGTTTCCAAACCAAAAAAGCTAATCTTCTATTCTCTCCAAATTAGTTGGCAAATAGTGTTTTACAACAATCAGTTTCAGAAAGAATCACAATAGTAGTAAGAGGTTTCGCAAAAGTATTTGTAGGAGAAATGGTAGAAAAAGGTATCAAAAAACACATCCCTCGCAATTCATATAATTCATACAAAGTTGAGAATAAGATTCTAATTTGGTTTCTTTGCCCTTTTGTTTGATCATAATAGCTTTGGAAGTCCAAAAAAGACGTGGCGGATCAGGTCCGATCACTCCATTTGATTTAAGAGAAGCTTATCGTGCTCATTTATCCGAAAGAGATCGTGGTGGTAGTGATAGAAGAAAAATGTTTTGTCGTTGAACCAAACATCAGACAATCCCATTCATTAAAACCCGTCTCGATTTCAACCGATTATTGTTTTTATATCTCTTTCATTGGCCTTTAACTTTTTGATCAGGTCTTGTAAACATTTAAAAAATGTATGATATTTGTTTCGAAATGATCTAGTGTTGTTAAAATATTTCAGATCCTTTGATCACCCTTAGTTTCGAGTCACATCAAAATTGCCTGGAACTATTTGTAAAATTATTTGGCCTCTTGTTCCTTGTAATTTGAGGAATGTCTTATGTCTATTGCAAACTCGTCAATAAACCAAATCCTATATGGAACGTCTCAAGTCGTAAATTTTCAACTCAACGCTCAAAATCGGTCTACGTACACAAGGCTTACAGATCTCATTTCAAGTATCAAGGTACTACATTGTAAGTCAGTAATTTGATAAATATGATGATCTTCATACATCTTTAGCAATACTTTTATAAAATATGTCCATCAGTTTACCGATACAATCTTCTTCTTTTAACTAGCAACTTCAACTCCACCAGTAACATGAAATACAGCAGCAGTACAATAAGAACTTTCAGCAGAAGCCAAAAAGACATACATTGGACCTAATTCAGAAGGTTGACCTGGTCTACCAAGTGGTGCAGCATCTACTCCAATCGCTTTTACTGTCTCTGGATCTTGTCCACCAGTAGCAGCTTGCAGTGCAGTATAAATTATACCAGGTGCCACTGCATTCACTCGAATTCCTCTAGGTGCAAGTTGAAGACCAAGTGATTTGGTGAAAGTCGCAATAGCTGCTTTTGTAGCTGAATAATCTACTAATGTTGGGTTACCCTATGAAGTAAGAAGACGGTTAAGAACTTTATGCTTTGATGTATGGTTGGAAGAGGGTATCAGCTTACGTTGTATGCTGCTACACTAGTCGAGTTGATAATACTGCTACCTCGTCGCATGTGAGGTAAGGCCGCTTTAGTGATCGCAAACTGTTCCGTTGATTGAAGCTTTTAGATCATCCGGACACATCGTTTGATTTCAAAATGTGTCGGCCGAGATCAAGAAAAACTTACCATCGCAAAAATATTTAAACGAAAGGTACGCTCGACTTGATCTTTATAGCCAAAAAATGAACACACAAGATATAATAATTGTGTTAGAGATTATTATCAAACAGAAGAGGGATTATCGTTTTACTTACCCAAGTCGATATCGTCTAATTTCTCACAAAGATCTTGACGGCCAGAATTATTGATAAGAACATCGATTCTACCAAACTTTTTAACATGTTCTAAAGAAGATCATAAACCCCCAAAAGTCAAAATCAAATAAGCCTTTCGATAACTCCAAAGTGAAAAGTTTACCTTCCACTGCAGTAAAACAATTCTCTCGTTTCATAAGATCAAGTGGTAATAAAAGACATGAATCTTTCTTTCCCGATTCTTTTTCGATTTGAGTTTTAACTTCTTGAGCATCAGATTCTTCTTGAGGTAAATAAACTATTGAGACCTCTGCTCCTTCACGAGCCATTAAAATTGCCGCAGATCTACCAATACCTGAATCAGCACCTGTGATCAAAACTGTTTTATTCAAAAGTTTACCTATAGTACAAAAACCAAACCAAGTAAAATTCAGATTTCGATATTCTTCCGTGGTTATCGAGAAGATATTATAAGGAAAAGAGAATCATACCAGATCCTTTGTATTCATGTAAACTAGGTTCACCAGTATGAGTATCAAAATGTTCAAGTTGGGTATAATTTGGTGGTGGTTCAAGTTTTGAATCAAGACCAGTACCAGATTGTTTTTGAGCTTTAATAGCTTCAGTTGGAAATGCTGTCTTCTTTTCAGAAGCCATGATGATGTTATTGTGATAAAGAAGATACTATCAAGGATGTGATGACGATCAAGGATGTCAGGATGAAAATAATGGTAAAGAGGAAAACGATAGGTAAAGATGAAAGCAATTGGTCAAGAGGGAAACAATTGGTAAAGAGGAAAACATGGTAAAAAGGAAAATATGTGATATGTGATGGTAAAGAGAAATATGCTATGGAGGTTGGCTTATTATCATGAGGAATGGTGATGACGTAGAGTTAGTGAAATGACGTCATTTGAACATTTGGCGAGATTTCAACAACAGCTCGTTACCAAAATGTAATCAGACGAGATAGGCCAGGATACTATTACGCCAGGTATATCTTCAACATATACATCGCTTTCTTGAAGCAATCGTTCGATTTATCTCTTTAACCTCAAGGTCAGCTTCATGACCTGCCAATCTGAATTCCATGGGATTATTACAAATATGTCCCACCTTGTCATCGACAAAAGTACTTCGGTGATTCATGACTCATTTGCTGTGACCTGATTAGTGTGTACAGGATTTTATTGAGCATCTGTTTACTTTCTCCCCGTCCTTTACCATCACCACGAACAAGTTGGGCATTCTTTCGCTCACATCTCTTTCTTGTGGTCTTTTTGCATCAAAACGTTCCTGACGAGAATGTTCCTCTCAGACCGTGGCAGGTATCGCAGTAGGTTTACGTCGTGCTCCACCAAGCATCATCTGATATAAACAGGATGATATTTTCTCCCAATCTTGAAGTTTGCTCTTTATGCACCTGGGGAGATACTTCCGAACTTACATTGCAACGCGTTGCAGACCTATCTTCTCATCGATAAGTTGACTACCCTCATTTTTTCATTGGTTCTTTCCCTGACGGTAATGTCGGAAATGCAAAAGACTTCCAGATAACTCCATGTCGTACGCGTAGACAACCTCGGACACGTGTTTAGATACGATCAGATTCCGAAAAAGTCGACCCTTCCCGCCATTGTACGTAATACGTGCCAACTCACTTCTTGGACTACCAGAGCTTGACCTTCAAGTCCAAACCCAGAGTCTTACGTATCTCAAGAATCCGCGAATGAAGGAAAAAAGTTCACCGATCAAGGATTGAGTACGCTAGTGTCTTGGAATGACTCTTCGAAAAGTTTGTCTCCATCAAATCCTATTCATCACAAGTCACGATTAAAACCATCTGACTAGATTTTTTTCCTTTGAGCCAAATCATTGATCAATTGACCTACAGAATCACTCGATCTGCCCCGCCCTTTGATGGAATGCAGCCACTGGAGGACGTTAACACATGTTTGGACGCGATTGCCGGCAACGGAGTTGGACCCTTTATTGATGTATCTGACACGGCTGCTTATATTACGCCCAAAGCCGTGGAGCTGGTGGAACATCGCGCCTAGGGTGTTGAAAAGCTTAATAAAAGATATCCAGGCTGAGCTTGTTCACATTATGAGTGGTAGATGTCCTCATGATCACTGGATGATCCGATCATTTACAAAAGAATCAAATACCCGCCACTTTTCGATATAATCTCAAATTCACCAGGCCCCTCTACGTGCATCTTTTGAACACTTCCTTGGGACAGTTCCAGGAGTGAGCAGAATCTACACAAGTCACAATACAATTTCACCATCAGATCATTCATCGGGATCAAGGAATCAATTGACTTTATCGGCTGTTTGAGATTTTTTAGTACTCTAGGTAAAACAATGGTATCAAAATTCCTCCGATTGTTGAAGTACCATCGTCGATCAGCCAGCTAAGAGTACGAGTTCAAGTCTTTTCTGTGACTTTGTGGAGCTGAAAAGAGCTTGCAACAAGAGAAGTGAAAGTTAGAGGGAGTCAGTTGAGGTTAAACTTTAGATTTGGATCAAACCTTCGAAAGACTTCTTTTACCTTCAAGTGTAGATCTGATCTCTGTCGTACTATGTACCGTACATGAAAGCGTTCGTCGAATCACCTTGAGTCATTCGTTCAAGAAAGGAACTGTAGCTCTATCAGTCTGTCAGATAAAGTGAGGGAGGCATCCTTCTGATGAGATGAAGTCTGGTGAGCAAACTTTCAGTTCGTTGTCTGAGCTCACCCACATTTACAATAACTGATCAACTTTTGCACTATCCTTGTGCTATCTAATAAAGGCAGACGGCATCCACTCATCTCATCCTATCACATCACAGTAAAATCATCATCGTCAGTTTGATCGATCGATCATCCAACAGCTTCTCCGATAACCTCACACCTGATTCTTTTTTTCAAATTACCTTGCCTCTTACATAACTACCTACATCCCGCACTCCATTATTAGCATTACCCCAATTTCAATTCCCTTTCTTTCGACTTGGTACTTTTTTTATCACCGTTTCCAAATCCTACCAATCACTGTTGCCTTTCAACTGCAAACAATCAGACCGTATACCGTTAAAAATCCGGTACAACCTTCCTCTCCGCTCATCCGCCTTTTACTGACTTACTCTACAATTCGGATTGCCTTGGATTTTACAAGGTGGAGAACGCTTTAACCAATCATCGATGACGCAAACCTTTATTAATCATCAAAGAGACCCTAAATAATTTATATAATCTTTAATAAAGGTTGAATTTTTGCATATCTCAGAATTCAATCCAACAAACGTAAAAATGTTCAAAGTTCAAACAAAGGAATTTGATCTCAATAGGAATAATTACTCAAATTTACTTTTACCTTTATCTTCTTTATCATCTGCAACAACTTCACTAACAGCGACTACCACCAATCTGACGCCGACAGCCCTCATCTCTTCTACCTCTTCTTCCACCACCAATAATAATAACAATCATCTAATGCACATCTCATTGGCAAACTCATCTTCCACACTTTCATCCCCAGCTCAATCTAACCCTCAAAGCCTTCATACACTTCAATCTTTAAATCAATCCACTGATCTCATGCCCACAGTCAATAATAATACGACTAGTGGAAAATTACCCAGACCACCCCAACGCCCACCCGCTTGTCGAGCATGTAAGCGCCGAAAATCAAAGGTTGTTGATCCTTTCGCTCTCATCTATCTCTCTTCTTCCCCTTTTTAATATCAGTAGTGTCAGATCTTTTCTTTTGAAACAACTTTCAAGCTTGCTTCTGACTTAACTCTTTGATTCTATTCACAACCTTCAATGTACATACCATCATGATGTCCACACGCTGTCTCGATCACCCAAACAATCATGAACATCATCTTTCACAGTGTGATTTTGAGTTACCGTGTAGTACATGCATGCTCCATAACACAACCGATATGTGCGCTTATGATAAATTGGCGATTCCAAGAGAACGTAAACCGGCCGGCAATCGATCGTTAGTGTTTCCTGCATTCTTTTTTCCTCTTTTATTTGACAAAAGGTTTTGCGAGTAGAATGCTCATCAGATATTTTCATCGCATCCTATTTTTATCTTCGAATAACATGCATACATATACAAATGATCAATGGCACGTATGTTTGAATCTTAAAGCAGACAAGCTGGTACGGTCGGAGTATCTAACAGAAACAGCGAATTGAAATTACTTCGGGGGCGTTTTTCAGAAGCTCAAAAGCTGATCGCTGATCAACAGGCGATCATTGAAGCTCAAGAACAGCGACTCCGATCAAAGTCAATCTCTGGACGGAATCTAGACCTTCCTAGACTCAACATTGAAGGTAGTGGCCAAAACCAATCCAATCAAACTCAAACTTCCGATTCATCGAAAACTTCAGATTCACCCACTCCAGATACATTGGCCGATGGATTGACTCAACTAGTCATTGATAAAGCTACCAAGTCACATTCCAAAGCATCGACATCCCCGCCCTCACCTCCGCCTCTACCTTTGCCTATCACTACCCACACATCTAACGAAAATGGTGATTGTCGCGATTTTGAGAATCGAAAGGCTGCACAAGATTTAAGCGAACTGGAAGAAGATGTACTTCATCTTTTTGCATCTCATTCCAATTTAAGCTTGGCGCGTCAGATGGAAATCACGGCTTGTATGGTAGAATCCGGTTGGCTGGGTCCTCTGAGTAGCTTAAGTGGATGTATCACTCCCACCAACATATCACGCCAGCCTGGCGATGTCTCATTTGTCCGTGGTAATCATCTTATACCACGTTCAGTCAATTCAGAAAACAACACGGGCTCTGCCACTCGCCCTTCTCCAAAGGTTCATCGTCCACCTACGAGTATATTACCTACTGCTGAAGAGATTGCCGTCAAAACCCCGGAAGATCTTCTTGGTCTCTTTCCACGAAGTCTCGACTACGCATTAACACTTCTCGAGAGTTATCTTGGTTTTGTGAATTTGGTCCATCATCTTGTAGATGGAGAACAAGCTAGATTTGAACTCAAATTATTTTACGATCTATACATGTACAATTCGGTACAATCTTCAAATTCTAAGCGTACTAGCAACGAAAAAGAATCACCAATGCCTGTTTCTGAATTGATGGAGATGGGTTGGTTGAGTGGGACATTAGCTATCTTTTACTTGGGTTCGAACTCGGATGACAGGTTTAAGTCAAATGAACATCAAGCACTTCGTAAGGCTTGGCTTGATGGAGCCTTACAGGGCTTAGCAATCCGATTTAGAAATTCAGAAAGGTCTGTGGATTTGACGGCCTTGAGGTGTGCTTGCTTGGTTGTTTGGATGTAAGTTCATTTCGTCTTGAAGGTTTTTACGTTGCTTTCAAAACGTTGATAAACAAACCCTTTTGTCATGATAGATATGTACTCTACGGAAAGGATGAAGAGATTCATCCAGCTATACACTTGAACTCAGATGCGCTTTATCGTGCATGCGATGAATTACAATTAGTTTAGTTTTTATTCCTATGTCATTTGGCCGTTCCTCCCTCATCGACTGATTTTTCCTCGTGGTAATTATAAACAAAACTTTGATCTGTAGCACCGAGATCCGGTCAGAGTATATCCAGGAATCTCACCCAGGGTAGCAGAAGACCACCGTCGAGTTTTTTGTGAGTCATTAGACTTTTATATAAAAGGAATCATGATCATACGAGACTAAAACTTCATTCTCTTGCAGATAATTTGATCAATACCGACTGGCTGTTCAAAGCAATCTTTGGAAAAACTTATTCACCGATTTCACTAGATGGACATGATGTCCAAATTCCACGTTCACTTGAAGGTCGAGATGAGATACCTGGAGCAATTGATGCATTAGGTTTTAGATCACTGTTGATGCGACAATTGAGAAAACTTGCTACTATGTGGATCGGGTCCGGTTGGATTTGTGAAGATCAAGCTTATGATTATGAAGCCGAGTTAAATAGGCTTGATTTAGATTTACCGGGTTGGTGTGTGATTGATGTCGAGAGGTTTACAGGTCCGTACATTCTCTTAATTTGTGTCTTTCAGCGGCGGAGATATTCAAACCATAAGCTGATACGTTTCCTTTCGTTTTCTTTTAAAAAATTACCACCGTGCAAATACGTAGGGAACTCTCAAGGGCAGTCCACTTTTAAGTATGTAAGAACTCCTCAAGAGCAAGCTGCTTTTAGTCAACAAATCATCACAAATGTTCAATTATGTGCGGTGAGAGTCAGATTTCATAGTAAACTAGCTGTACCTTCAAGTGAAGCACCTGAATGGGTTAAAAAATCAGCTGTAAGTATTTTACCAGTTCATATATTACTTCATTCGGGGTCCATCTTTATCTGCCTAAGTATCCAGTTTTCTGATGTTGAACTTACCTTCCTAACCCAAAACGCAGCCGCGCCATCGACAGATTTGTATTGAAAGAGCTATCAAACTATTGAGACTTGAATTGATCCATCTTTCGAACACGACTAGACTGTTGGGTCACAGGTAAATAACTTGATTCAGATTAGTTAAATGTACTTTGGTTTCTTGGATCTGACGAAAGATACTCTATAGTGGATATCCTAGGTTTCATCCAATAGTCGGAGGTCTCACGCTTTGTGCTCTGATGGCTAGTAAGTATTTTTTAATCTACCCAAGATGAAGTGGTGAAAGGAATGAATTGTTGAGACCCATGGGTATTACATTAAATTTTGTAGAAAGTTCTGATCGTTTAGAAAGGAAACGAATATTCGAAGAACTTGAAAGGTTTACAGAGTTTATCAAATCTCAAGGATCTTTATCGCAAGTAACAAATATAGGTAGATTAGCTATTGAGACACTATTGACCAAAGTCAAAAAGGAAGAGTTAGCAGAAGAAGTTGAGTTACTCTATTTGAGACCTTATATTTTTTCTATGCTTTCCCTCTTTGAATCCTCCTTCGAATGCTTCATCAAGAGTCATTGGCTGAAGATTTTTTTTGGAATTCAAGGCTTCTCGACGTCAGTCGATGTACCAACAAACACCTTTAAAGAAGGTTAGTATCTCTAAAGTCAGACTGTCTCATTCGAACTTACTCCGGTTCACTACGATATATTTTCCTCATTCAAACCAATATGTTTCTCCTTTTCGATCATAGGGGTCAACTGGCGACTTTTTAAGACTGTACTCGAGCGACAACCATCCTTCTGAAGATCATGTAGGTTACAACCTTCTTCTCTCAATTTTCATGTTCTCAACGCTCTCTTTAATACCATACATCTACGCAGAAGTGATGCTCCTGCGTACCGGTTTATCGTCTCTATTGACGCGAAAAGCTATCGAACGTTCAGGATCAAAGCTAACATTTTTTTCATTTATAGTCCTCTCGAAATGAAGTATCGGGCTGCGGGTCTCCAAAACAGGCTGATCGACCCCATTCACCAGTGTCGCCAACGAGTTGGGTGAAGGAGACCAAAGAATCGAGAAACCTTGATCGGATGGATGGTAGGGAGGATATGCAGATATCTAGAGATCAACAGACACGGCCAATGCACATGCAGCACTACACGTCTGATCAAAGCACTAGCGAAGCACCGATTCATCACTGTAATCATCAAGTGCAGTCGAATCTCAATCCTGGTTGCGACTGTAGGTCGAGAGGGGACACCGGAAGATTAGATCAGAGAATGGGGCCATCTGAACCATGTGTCGGCAAAGAGGGACAAGCATGGGGTCCTGAAGTAGGAAGACAGACTGGGTTCGGAAATGAACCTCGAGAATGCAAACCGATTTCGATCGATGACTTCATTTCAACATTCATTGGTGGACCACCACAAGGCAATTCGTTGAAATGGGGCGAAGGTATTCTTGGGCAGATTGGTGGGGAAAGATCAGATGCTGGTATCATAAATTGGGGAGTAGCTCAAGATAGATTCTCAGGGAGTGAAAAAGTCGAAGATGCCAGAACGTACAAATCGCAGGGTGTCAGAGAAGAATGGGTTAACCTCGAGACGCCTCATATGGGTAGATCTAATGATTCGATGATGGGTGGTCTTAGTCATCCTATAGCGTATGCCGATAACGACAGATCGATGAGAAATGGTCAATCTGGTACCACTGCGCCCAGCGTGAGATCATCAAGCCAAGATGGACGTTTGAATCAGCCTCTTTCTGGCCATGGGGGAACCGATTTCGAAGACTTACTCCCCACTCAAAACCTTGCGATCTCAGCTCGTACATTTACTCCACAAGTGGTGAATCGTGCTGATAATTCCTCCTCTACGTCTGCTTGGAATCCATACGGTGGACCTTGGCCTTCTTCTGCAACTCCTACTCATCATTCATTCTTTGGTGCTCCTTCAAATTCATTCTTATCTGGCTCACCACCCTTTTCTGCACCTATTGCATCTGGTTTCCCATTATTCAATCACCAATCTTTTCAAAACTTTCATCCATCAAATCATCTCTCTGTTTCTCAATCTTCGAACTCTGGCACTGCTCTTCAATATCTACCTAAACATCCTGAAGGTTTAGAACATCTCTTTGATCTTACAACTGGTGTATCAACACCTTCTATTCCTTCTGCAACTTCAAGTTCTTTCTCGTCCAATCCATATGGCTTAAGTTCTTCTAATTCTAATGGTACTTGTCATTCTTGGAAACAAGAATGGTAATTTCCTTTGAACGAAAAAAACCGGGTTTAAAAGGTTTGTATGTAACAGCATATATATATATATATATATATGTTTATCAGTTTTCATCAGTTATTGTATTTTGGAGATTTTCTTTGGATACGTTATAAGTTTGATTTGTACAAAAAAAACGGAAACAAAACATGAAAGCCAATGTGATGCATGTATATATAGTGTTTTTCCATATATTTGATATCATGCTTGGATTTTTATAACTCTTGTGTATGTAATTGTGGTGCAGTTTCTCAGTGGATTTCATTAGTTTTTTATCTCTCTTTTTGTTAGTCGAATTGGGTTTTGCTTAATCTAGAAGAGGTGCTGTGGAATACAAGCTTTTGGGAAAATTGGAATTTGTATCCAATTTTGGTGTAGATATGTGGAAACATGCCCATTGAGGCTAGGGTCCATTGGGCATTATGAGTTTTCTCGTCATGATATTCACAAATCGCTCAAGCTCGAAGGAATCTCACATATGATGGTGAAGTGATGCATAGATTGATACATGAATTTAAAATCTTGGGGTTATACCACTACAAACACAACGACACAGCGTCCAAAGCAAAACTTTTGGAACATAATCAAAACAAAAACCGACTCCAAACCTATAACGAAGTGTCCTGAGAGCCTTTCATCATGATCTTTTGATTCTACCAATCCTACTAGTTCCTCTGACAGCTCTACCAGCAGTTCTAGCCACCCGACCACGAGTCGTACCACGGGAATTGAATCTAGGTATTTGATTTTGATTTGATCTTGATCTTGATCTTTCAGCTTCTTGTTCTTCTTCTTCTTGACGTTTTTGAATTTCAGCTAAACGTTGACGTTCGATTTCTATTTCTTTTTCTCGTTTTAATTGAATTTCTTTTAATTTTAATTCATCTCTTCTTTTGATATCCTACATAGATTCATTCAAGAAAAAAATCATGATTATCAATAAGTTTAGTTTAGTTTAATTTCGTTTTTACTTTTTCTTATTTAGTGGAAATTATTACCTCGCTTAATCCTTTCCAATTTGGATCTATTAAAGTTTCACGAAATTCTTCGGTTTTTGATAAGATTTTGGAATAGAGATCTAGTAGATTATGTGAAGTTTCACTTGCTTGTTGAACTCTCTATAACCCAATCCAAAGAAAAAATCAAGAAACAAATCAGTTTTAAACTCGGGAATCATTTCTTTATAATATAAACTTAAGAGAATTTTTTTGAAGTTGTTAGGGAAAAAAACGTACTTGAATCTTTTCAGGTATTGAATCTAAATCATCCGCAGCAATTTCTAATAAATCATTTATACCTTTTAAAAAATCTCTTTCTTCTTCTAATTCTTGATTTCTTTGATTTTCTTCTTTCCATTTATGATTTAATTTTGAATTTGATTGATTTGGTTCTTTTTTCTTTTTTATATTAGATTCTATTGGATTTGAAATCTCACTAAAAAAAACCTTGCGAATATATTAAATGATTATAAGAATGATTTTCTTGAAAAAAAAGGAAAAGTGGTTTGAAGAAAAAAAAAACTAACCTCATTTGTCTTTTGGTTGGGTTTTGAGATCTACTTGGGGTGTTTATAATTGGATTTCCTAAAAAACTATCATCTTCATTTAAATTCATGGAAATCGAATCGTTTAAAAAATCGTCTTCTTCTGAAAGATTAGGTGGAAAAGAGATTGATGGTTTTGGTTTTCTTGACATTCTTTATGATTCGGGGTTTGGTTTTTTTTGGTTTGGTTGATGTGAAAAGTTGAAAGTTTGGCGTTTGGACGCGATTGATGGATGAATTGGTTCCAAGTTGAAAGTTCAGACGATCGCGTTTCATGAGTCATAAAGTCACCCGACACGGTACGGGACGAAGAGGAGGAACCCGTCGTGATCGGATATTCGTCGGACCAATGATCCGAGCACAAGGACTCAACTCTTCTCATTACTTCAGGCATTCCGATATTGGTTGTGGCAACTGTGTGAAAAGAAAAAGTTGTGAGCTTGAAACCTAAGTTTTAACCGGGCTAAAACCTGGAATTTGGCTGTATTGCCTTGAATTACAGCCAAGTTTGAAGTTTTATTGAGTAAAAACAGGTAAAAACTTAGGTTTCACTTTTTCTTTTTCAAACCGGAGCGACAAGCAATATCGGAATGGCTGTATTTCTCAAAACTCGACATAAAGAAAGAAGGATATGTATGTAAAGCGAACGATACGAAAGCACTTTCTGGTCCCAAAGCAATGTAAGATGCGGTCAACCAATGTATACATAGATCTTTCTTTATGTCGTAGGTCACCGCTATCTCTCCATCGATTCACAGAAGATGACTCTAATTTGAATTTTCACTACAGGCATATTTCGCTTGTAAGCCAGGATACATGGAACCTTTGAAGGCTGGCCCCAAAGAACGGCGCAACTGGGTTCACTCCAAGCATTAACAAGGTCGGGATTTCCTGGAATGGATCCCTTCGGTTCCCATCTCTTTGGGGACTCCGTCCAAGGTCTCTCTTTGCTGCCACTGATAACAGCATCTGGATAAGATCTTGGTCTGGCCTGACGTACAAAACTTTTTTGGCTGTAGATCGGTGACCATGTTTTGTTTCACAGGGCACAAGATTCATCAAGCGCATCTGTGTAGTAGCACAAGTGTGAAGATTTGATTTCTCCGCGGCTGATATTAAGTATGTATTACTATTTAGGAAAACAAAATGAGAGACTATCTGAAGACCGCTATTAATTTCTTCCGCGCAAGGTTAAGAGGCAGAACAAAACAAAGACTTCCAGGAAAATTGATTGGTACTAAAACATCAAGTTAATTACCCAGTTAAAAAATTGTACAAGAAAACTATACACCCGTTATGAACTTCTCCTTGTGAGTCATTTGATCGAAAATCAGAAAATTCGTGTATTGTAGATGTGAGTAATGATAGAAGTGTATGAATTTTGACCCTAGATATGTCATGGGAACGCTCGATTTTTCCCTCACAGTGATCTACGACGTTCCCTAAGAATTCGGAATCTCTAGCTTCTAGTAGGAAGGTTATCTAGTCTAGTAAATATCTCGAATTATGTACACTTGAAGATTAGGCTTTCGATCTTGAACTTGAATGTTGCTTGATTTTCGCGTAGAGAAATGGATCAATTGGTTTGCCAAAACTCGACTTAGTAAAGTGGGGTTATCTGAATCAAGTTTTTGAATCTTGGGATGACTGGTCATGATATTTGTGGTATATGGTTGTATCTTATGACTTTTTTTGTTACAATCGACGAGATCCACATTGTGATGTTCTGGGGATGGAGTTGTAACTTCAACAGATTTAGGAGCTGAGATGGTTTTGGTTTTTTGAAAGTGGGTAGTGAATCCCACGGCTTCTTCTTGTTTTAAAAAGCCTCTTCGACGTTTATCTAGTGTATGAGATAAAGAGCGTGGAATGATTATTCTTTCGGCTGTCTGTCCATCAGAATTTTTGCTAGTGTAACCAGTTGTATGTCCAAGGGGATGGGTACTTGAGCTCGTACTACGTCGCGCAAGTCTCTTGGGAGTGGTGATTTGATTGGGTTCGTCAAGATGAGAAAATTCGGGAGTCTGAGTGGGATCGACAGTCTGAGAATTTTTGGAGATCTCCGAGTTGTCTGCCAAGGTGTTGGCAATCGTGATGATGAAGCCCATTGAAATCCCAGCCTGGGCAACTATCAGGCCTAGGACAAAGAATGAAGAAAGCTGGTATCGGCCCATCTCGCGATGATTGGTGTTGAAGGTATAAGAGATACGATTCAGAAATGCAGGTTACGATCGAATGAATGTGTGAATCTTGAGTTTGGATAGCAACTTTTTGCTAGAAAAGAAGGCGAGGATATGATTCTTGTGCGAGCGACAGTCTGGAGGGGATCTCTGGGCGTTTTGTGGTCAGTTAGGGAGTGGGCCGCTCATGTGATACGCACTTCTGTCATGATTAGATCAAACACGATCTCCTCCGCAATACATCACGCTTCCAATGATATAGTCCCGACACATCCATATCTCAGTGTCTAGGTTTCCCTTTTAGGTGATAAAAGTAAGAGTTTGATGCACTATCCTATGGGGGCAGTAACACGAGAGATGACTAGTTTCCTCAATCTGATCTTGATCCAATATCCGCAGGAGTTTCAAAAGTCGAACGCGATGATTGATTGACGACTTGGGCTACTCCTTCGAGGGTTTGAATCTAGACCGCCTCAGAAAGTGTTGAGGGAAGATTAGACGATTGATAGACTTGATTGAGGAACTGAGGAGAAAGACTAGCCACATGCAGCTGGACGAGAACGTTGGATAATTGAGTGAAACGTGTTTCTGCGTGGGTGGCTTGATGGTTTTGAAAACAAGTCATGACGAAACAAGAGCTAAACACCGCTATTAGTGAGGTGAAAAGTCGTGGCTAAAGGAACTCCTCCTGTTTGAGTGATCACTGTGATCCGGCATAGTCATCGTGGCACAGGGCCCATATGCATATTTCATCACTCCCGGTTTGAAGGAAATGGTATGTTAGTCCCAAACACGCATATCTGGGGGTTTGATTCAGTCGCTTAAAAACTGTCATTTTGTCTTTCAAATAACAGGGACACCCTTCGGTCCTTCGCTATTCCCTTGATCAATTCTTCAGTCTTGCCACCTTGATATCTGAACCTTGCAAAGCTACCGGTCTTTATTCAAGTCATTACCTTCTCAAAGTGTGCGTCGAAGTTGGATTTATTCATCAAGCTATCATAAAGCTAATCAGGCGTAATAGTCATAAAAGGCTTGATCTCTAGTCATTCTTCAAACCGATTTTATACGTGGTTGAACCTCATTCATTTCATATAGACCTACGCTTCTTTCTCCCTCCAGTTCGAAGACGACCATCAATTACACAGTCAGTTAATTTTCTTCAATCAATTTTTTGTCCCGTGTGATCCTTACACAAATCTGACGTACAATGTCCATTTACCCATCCTTACTTTTTCCCTTCATCACTTTCAAGAGCTCTGAGGTCTCAATATTCAAGTCACGAAAGAAACATGAAGTCGTCTGCTCTAATTTCTGGACTTCTCTTAGGAATCATCTCTCAAACCTCAGCTGCAATTATGAGAATACCCGGACCAAGCGCAGATATTGGTACCGCCCTTCATGGCACTCTGGGTGATACTTCTGGTGTAGTGGCTTGGTCGGGTTCTTTTACAGAGATGCAGGACAGACTAGCCGAAGGACAAAGACTTGCACATCTACCGCCTCCTAAGTGGGAATTGGGATCTCCTTTAGCAGCGAACGACGCAAAAGAAGCAGCTTTGGGACCTTCTACGCTTGACCAACACCTCGATGTAAAATCTGAACAATACAAGACGATTCAATTGGCCGATAGAAGGATCTTGAAGGGTGGAAGTGGTAAAGCAATTAAATTTCGTCCTGGCGCGGGCTCTTTGGCGGCTGACACACCCTTCTCCACAAAGTTAACCTGGGTATTCCTAGCTGGACATCTTGCTATGTTGAGGCATTGGTTTGCCAGGCTCTGAATGGGATATTCCCATTGTGATATCACCTTGTAAAATATGCAGATAAGATAATATAATCAAGGAAGCAAGGCAATTTCAACTTCATCATCGGTTTGTGATTGATAGACCAAACCACAGATAAATTCACAACTTACTTTGGGAAAGACATGTAGCGTTATGCTAGTAGACTGACGTGCAACCTACTGATGTCTCAAATGGTCAAGTCTCTCAATATTAACATGAGCACCCAATGAGATGAAACCTTCAAACAATTGCTATGAGACATGATTCTGTGGTGAAATAGACTAGTGAGGTCATGAGGAACTTGCTCAAGTTTGATGTGATTTGAGCATTTCTAGAAATCTTCAAGTCACGATATCTAAAGACCCAATCAATCAATCGAGGAACTGTGATGCCAAGGCTGCAAACTCGCCTTCGTGTGGAGGGATTTTTGTACACTTCAATGATGGTTATCAAGGCGCAAATTGAAAAGATGAAGCTGCTTGGTGTTGTCTACATGTTTCAATGACACTACCAAAGTTCTTGAAACTCAAGGGTCTGCATAACCAAGTCCCCACGGATGGCCCAATCTGATTTCTTCTATCTTTTGACTCCAAACTCACATCAAGAGACATGGTTCATGATCGTCTCCTTCAAAAAAGCAAGGGCATCTTTCAATTCTACATTCCGTAGTCCTTTTATCAATACCTTAGTCTTGCCCCCTTGTGAATTGAACCTTTACACTTCAAGCAATCGTCTTCTCAAAGTGTGCGTTGAAGTTGCATTTCTTCATTACGCCATCATAAAACTCATCATGTGACATACATGGTCATAAAAGCCTGTACCTTCATTCAACCTCCGAACAAAACACTTTAGACCTCAAATCCATTTCGTAAAAACCTACGCTCTTTGCTCACTTTTTTTCGGGAAGACCATCAATCAACCAGAGACTCAGTGGATCTCCAGAACATCGAGATCAATAATTTTTGTTTTGACTTCACCAGAGTCTTTTCAGACAGCAAAGGTATGGGCTTGGTGATGTCATGCACAATTACAACTACTTATGTGCTACAGGCTGTAGCTCCTTTTCTTGAAATAAAGGGCGAAATCGCGCTATCGCATCTTGCACTAACCAAACAAGCGAGAAGTCAGGAGACTATGTAGTTTACCAGGGTGATTTGGTAAACAAGAGTTTGCGGTGCCTGTAATCTTCTGCACCTCCTTAAGCGGATTAAGTATTGGTATGTATCCTTCAGAGCTGGCACCGTTATCCTCATGCTTTGAAGAGGTGAGGGTGAGAGACTGTTTCATGTTTATCATGTTTTTCACATGGTTCCAGCCAGACACCTCTTCCTGCGCCGCATTGCCCGAGAAAACAAAGTGGTGCCAAATCCATAGCGCTTCAGGGACTCGGCGGGGAGCGAATCACTCGCGTTCGCGGTGGTATTTAGCTTCGAGTCGATAGCAAAAACTCGCTGGAGTGGAGTGGTATGGTTCAGCGAATGGACTTGTTCGAGCTTGTTTCGATAGACAGCTCGCAAATATTAACCACAGGCTGTGCTAGGATGGAAATTTCAGACGTTCGGTCGGGTAAGCTTATAGGATCCGACCGTTGTTGGAGTGAGTGGCGGTGTGGGAGTGGAATGTTTTGACGACGATATGTGCGCGAGTGATAACGCGTCCCACGGATGAAGTAGTTCTCGTCGACTCGGAACAGGCTTTGTTCAGGAAGAAACTGGTATAGTAAGCACTGGATGCGGGTAAATCAAAGCCTTTAAATTCCTCTCTTTCTCTGGTACTAGAACGCTTTTGTGTCCAACTTAATTCACTTTTATTATTATTATTCGTGCTTCCTGAGTTATAGATAAGACAGCAGCTTCAACTCTCTTTTAAAACTTACTGCTTAACATTCTTTAAATCGTAATAACCTCACACTTTGCACCACTGTGAAACTTTTTGCTGCATAATTTTACTTTGTAAACCTCGACGCACTAAGTACAAAGAGAGTGTTCTCGGTGAACTCTTATCACTCATTATGCACACTTCCTTTCTTTTCAACACCTTGTGGCCCATTTTGGTCATTCAAGCCGGATTTCATCCTACACGGGCGCATCAGCAACTCAAAAGAGGAATGAACCCAGCTTCCGGTTCTTCCGGTCAAACCACCAGCGTCTCGCACTCGAGCTTCAGCTCGAATTGGAGGGCATTGATCAAAGAGTATATTGCCGTTGATCTTACCTCCTTGCCAGGTCTTGAGACTTATGCTGAAGAGTTGAAGAGTAACTGGGCGTCAACGTCGAGCTTCACTGGCCAAACCTCCATGGAAACCACCATTAAAAGTACCAAACTCAGTGGCTCATGTGATAGTGAGTACCTAGCTTTGAATTTGAAGAACATCAACTTTTGAGTATTTTTAAAACTGAATCCATGTTGGTTTTGTAGGTCATGGCTATATGGTAGTCACAGCCACTTCGCTGGTCACTCTTTCCACACTATACACTCATCTACAAATTCTGCAAACAAAGTGCCAGGAGAAGGGATATACCAAGACAGTTTCGACCATACAATCCACAAAGACTCAAATTTCCAAAGTGATGTATACTGTTGTCAAGCTAACATCCACTTCAGACATCAATACATGTGCTGTTGCCCCTTCAAAATCACCTTACTGCGCTCCAGTCCAATCCAACATGGATGGGTTGAGATCAAAATTTGCTTCTATTGAGTTATCTATTACACAAGAGCGTGTGGATATATCCTCAAAAATAGAGATTAATTCCGGGACTTTATATCAGGACAGACCTCGTACTATAGGGGATGTTATTGAGCTTTGCAGGGTGTGTACCTACATGATGTTTTCAAAGTTCAAGTGAGAATGTGTAGAAAAAAGCTAATTGAAAAACAATCACAAATGAAATTTTCAGGAAGGTCATCAAGTAGCACAACTTGGATGTCAAGGTGTCACCACCTCAATTCCAGCACAAGGGCCTTCGGGTATACATTTTCCTTTCAACTCTAGCAGCATGAAAACAAGTTTGAAAAAGTTCATTCCAAAAGGATGTCAAGCTATCAAGTCTTGGGTTTCTAATACCACTTTAAGTTATCAAAATGTGAGCTACAAGAATATTGAAAGAACTCTAAAGATTCATGTTTTCCACTTTAATGTCATGAAATACTGATAATTTCATTTTCTTTGGGAATCAGGGCACCATTCCCAGTGCACAAGGTAGTACAGCAAACTCTACCAATGCAACCATCCCAATGCCTCTTCCAAATATTGATGCTATGAGCAATGGATCACCACTCCCTCCCAAAGATCAGACATCTTCAGCCTGTCACACATTCAACTTCAAAGGATTTGAGATTGTTCACATTTCTCTGTTATCTTTAGGCTTGATCTTGAAAACCATCATCATGTGATTTTTCTTTCTCAGAAAGTATACTCATACCAGATTGAATTCAATTTCAAGTCATGTCTTCTTATTGCTTTATTTCAACTACATAGCTTATCTTTAAGGACAAATCCATCATCTTCTTATCTGAACGTTTGCATTATGTTAAACTCTTGTGTGTACATCTTTGTGTTTGGTTATGTGAGATATTCCGAAGGAAAATATACTTTCCTTCTTTGGTGTTTCATTTGAAATATATAAAACTGATGTGTTGTGAAACCTCAATACAATTGTTTTCAAAGGAAGTATTCTAAACCAATTTTTCAATGACTGTGTGGTTTTTTCAACCTGAACGGTGATCCTTCAAGTACATTCACTGGGCGTAACGAGTCTCGAGGATAGATTGTAGAGCTGAGGTATTCAAAAGTCAGGAAAACAGAAATGAAAAAGATTACAATGCCAAGTTAGATTTGAATGGAAACAGTGACACCTGAGTGACAGGGTAGTACACATAACTCACTTCTTGTTTGACTGTATTACACAGGTTCACAACGATACGCATATACTGATCTGATGGTTCCTCAGCAAATCGACTTTGTTGATGTGTTGCTTCCGATGGCAATAAAGAACCTCTTACGATAAGCACGAATTGTATTTCAAAGAAACAAGTCGATACGAAGGGAGCCAAATGAAATAAATACGAATATCAGTTTGAACCATTCATGGACCATTCATAATCATCTCGATACGTACCCTTGGTACCGGAACTCCTTCTCATGATGAGAATGAGATACGATTTGACAATCAAAAGTCTCCTTCATCAAATCCTTGTTTTCAATAAGGTTCTTTGCCTCAAGATTTTTTTCATTTACATTGCAACATCTAATCGAACCTTGAGAAATCAGGCGGTCAACACGAAGGAATTCGCTTCTCCCTTCATCTACGTATTTGAAACCCTTGATGGTAGTGAGTTCGAGATAAGACAAGACCTGTGAACTTCCAGTTATCAACAAACAGCACGTCCCTTCTCGTCACTTGATCTTCAAACCTCAGCCTGTGAAAGTACTCAGCCTAATGATCACATCGAAAGTGAAGAGTTTTCGGGGCCACGCCAACCGATTCGTCATCAGCTGCTGAGCCGAAAATGACCTTAACACGATCACAACCCACGCTGGCGCGGAAATAGGTCATTCTGATCATGAACCGTGGCGCTCGAAGTCTTGCGGGTATCGTTCCATGTGAGCTGGGCGTTTTGTTGTTGAAATGAAAGCTGTGGTCTATTTTGACTTTCCCTTGAAGATAAGGTATCTATCACTGCCTTGTACCATTCACCTTCAACTTCAACTCTTTCCTCAATCCAGATCTATTAGTGTATAAAATTTCTTGTCAAAAGTGTTCACCAACTTAAATATTTAACTATCTTCATTTCTATTCTTCAATTTCAATCTATAAGCTTTGAACGATCATGCATTCCTCATTCAATTTCTTAACTAATTTATTAACAATCGTCTGCTTCATATCTTATGGTACCGGAAACTATGTATCTGCATCAGCTGGACCTGAAGCTTCTCATCCTATCAGGTCAGTCAATTTAAGTCTTTCTTTTATCTATACTTGAGATTAACATTTTAGCGCTATTATACATTCACAGGGGAATTCGTAGTCGTGATACACGAAGCTTGAGGGCTAGAGCTCCGGAAATTTCTCAAGAAAATTCTTATCTATTCTTAACAAGAAGGTAAATTAACTTTACCTTTATGAATATTTTTTCAATCAATTTCCTTTGACTTCTAGATGATTTGATTTACTAATAGTTAAATATCTTATTTTTTAAAAAAAGTTTGAATAAACGTCAAGGAAAACTCGGTGCAGGAGCTGGAGGAGCCGCAGGAGGTGGAGGAGCCGGTCGTGGGGATGCAATCATCAAGGGAGCTGTTGATAGGATTTCAGCAGGATTGGCCACGACGATTGCCAAGTTTTCAGCTCTCAAAGATGCTAATTTGGAGTTACCTACTGCAGCTGAGATTTCAGAAGCGATGTCTAAGGCGGCTGAAAGTGTAGATTCAAGTCAATTCTCTCAAGCCTTGCGCGCTTATAAAACTGGTATCGATGGGCTTCTAGACCGAAAACTTGCTGAAGGTGGAAAGTCTGGAGGAACTGGGTAAATTAGAATTTTTTACATCTCTATGTTGGCTTAATCGAGACCCATCACTGACCATGAGTTTGAAATTAGGACAAGTAGCAAGAACAAACGACAGATGAGGGGCGGTGGCGGTCGTGGTTCGCCTTCAGCTGCAACCGCTTCAACCGGTACAGCCACGCCTTCGCCTTCGAGTGCTACTCCATCTTCTGGAGCCGCAGGAGCCGCAAGTTCTCCACCCATGTCAAAAGATATGTTAGATGGAATTGCCGCTGCTTTCTTAGCTTTGGTCACCAAATTCGTAGATGCAAAGTCAGGAGGTGGAAGATTACCTACTGGAGAAGATATTTCTCAAACATTACAAGACGTTATCAAGACTAGTGATATTAAAAATAGGATGGAAACTGCTTTAGCTGCTAAGACTGCCTTGGAGGGATTGGCAGATAAAATGAAGACAGCTAAGTGAAAAGACGATTCATGAGGTGTTGTAGAAGAAGTGGGTGAGTCTGAGTTTTGTAAAACCGTTTTTACCAAATTGATGTAGACTTTCATTGATTGGAAGTACCAGATGTTGTGATATTTCTTTAGACCGGTTTCTTATCATGTATCTTTTCTCTTTGATTCTTTTTTCTCTTGATCACCTTTATAAGTATCTGGTATTTCTTGAACCCCCTGAAGTGGGAAAAACTTGTGTATGTTATGTTTTTTTTAAGTTTTGATTGTATGTATTCGATATTCTTTTATTCTTCCCTTCATCAGTTCTATGTTTCCTATACTCTTCCCCCCCTTCTTGAATTGGGAGTTTTTACCTTTGTACTTTAGTTTTCACTTTATCACTTTATCTCAATTCATATTGAATTACTATGGACATATCAAATATCAATTTCACTTGCAATTTTGGGCTTAGGTTTTCTTTTGGAAACTTTGTTGAAGATGTTAAGGTTCCAAGATTTATATGGCCAAAGCAAGACTCGAGCCTTGAGCCTTTTTTGTATCTCTTTTGTCACGAGGCGCAAAAACACATTCTCTAATTGTCTGTACCCACTGATAGTCATAATCTCTGTCTAAGTGTAAGCCATTCCTCGTGACCATCACTTGGGTTTATCAGAAATCTTTGTTGATCCTCCCCCCTTAAAGAAATGCACTTCACAGACAGGAGGATATGAGGAATTACAAAATGTGAAGAAGAAACACGTAGATCGGTATTTTTACAACATATTCACTCCTATCCAATTTGAAATCAAGTGTAAATCCACTTTCATTCCCCGACATCTGATTCTCAAGACTCAAAAGGAGATCAATTCTTAAGAAAAGTCATGGGCTGATTCATGAAGTTTGAATTTATCTGATTCATTGGTGGGTTTGATGTGTTAAATGTCTTCAAAGTTCAAGTGAAGAAATGAGAAAGAGTGCTTAAATTACTTTGCGCCCCACTTATGCATCAAGTTCACTGTTCGGGCAAATCGGTTGGGGTCAATACAGGAGTCAAATAGAAGAATATCGAATTACGTAGAATGAATAAAACAAAACACCAAAACCTGTTCCATCGATCATGACTCATTTCTCTATCATCAGATTCAGAAGTACTACTGCCAAACCATTCTCATCAGTCTTCACTTCTTCTTACTACCATCATCATCAACCACCGTCGTTTCATTTCTCTACTTCCAAAATGAGTTCAACCAATGGATTTCATTCAACACCACAAACCTCTTCTAATTTTTCAGAAGTCTTTATTATCTCAGCTGGTCGTAGTCCAGTAGGATCGATGTCAGGTGTATTAAAATCATTACAAGCTACCGAACTAGGATCTCAAGTTGTTAAAGGAACAATTTCAAAAGCAGGACTTCAACCTAATCAAATCGAAGAAATCTTTATGGGTCATGTCTTACAAGCTAATACTGGACAAAGTCCCGCTCGTCAAGTCGTCATCGGTTCAGGTTGTTCTCCTTCTACTGAAGCTACTACTATTAATAAGGTTTGTGCTAGTGGTATGAAATCGATCATTTTGGCTACTCAAGCTTTACAACTTGGGAATCGATCGGTTATGGTTGCTGGTGGAATGGAATCTATGAGTAATTCACCGTAAGTGTGTTTTGGGAAAATTGAATGAATGTTGAAATCCAAATCTCATTTAACTTGTTTTCTCTCATTGAATTTCTTTCTTCTTTAGATTCTATTTACCACGCGGTGCCAGTTTTGGACACTTTCAAGCATCTGATTCGATTGTCAAAGACGGATTATGGGACGTATACAACCAAATCCATATGGGAAACTGTGCGGAAAAAACAGCCAATGATCATTCGATCAGTCGAGAAGCCCAAGACGAATATGCGATTGAATCATACAGACGAGCCACAGAAGCATGGTCGCAAAACGTTTTTAAAGAAGAAATCATTCCGATTGAGATTATGGATAAACGAACTGGAAAACTTACAAGTGTGGTGGAAGATGAAGAGTATAAGAATATCAAGTTGGAGAAAGTCAAGAGTTTGAGACCGGTCTTTAAGAAGGAAGGTGGAACTGTTACCGCGGCTAATGCTTCGACTCTTAATGATGGGGCTTCTGCTGTGGTCTTGATGACGGGTGAAAAAGCTGATGAGTTGGGGGTTAAGAAGTTGGCTAAAATCATTGGTATGTGGTTTTCCCTCCTTCCCAAAAAATCATCTGAAGTTAACTCTAAACCACCTGGTTTTGTATTTTTGATGGATGGATGGGTCAAATAGCTTATGCAGATGCAGCATGTGATCCGATTGATTTTCCAATCGCACCTACTTTAGCCATTCCAATCGCCTTGAAAAAAGCAGGATTAAAGATTTCAGATATGTCCAAGATTGAAATCAATGAAGCTTTTTCAGTCGTTGCTTTGGCTAACATGAAGATCTTAGGCATCGATCATTCAAAGGTGAATGTTAATGGGGGTGGTGTGGCTTTAGGTCATCCGATTGGTTCTTCTGGCTCTAGGATCGTCGTTAGTTTGGTTCATTCACTTTTACCGGGTGAATTTGGTTTGGCTGGAATATGTAATGGAGTGAGTTGAAGGATTTCTTATGATTGTTTTTTAAATTTGATTTTGAGTTTTTGATTTTTTTTCTTTTTCTTTAGGGTGGTGCTGCTTCTGCTATGGTCATTCAAAGAGTTTGAAAAAATCGGAAATCTTTTTATGACTTCTTTTTACACAAAAAAGTTGATTACATAGGTTTTTTCGAAAAAAAGAAAATATTAAAAGATTTTTTTTTCTCTTTCATTTTGGTTTCTCTTTTACCCATGTCTCTTTTTTCTTCTTCTTAGACTTGAAATTCAAACTTCATTTTTGTTTTCAAGTCTTGTGGTTTTTTTCTCTTTCTCTCTTTGATGTAAAAGATATGTTTAAGGGGTTCAAGGAGATAAGGTTGAGAGGTATACATGGGTTTTCTTTTGAAAGAGAAAGGGTTTGGCTTGAAAAGACGTATATGAGAATTTGTTGAAAGGAGTTTTGGAAATGAAATTGGAGGTTGTTTTTGGTGATGGTGGTGGTGGTGGTAACTTATGAAAATATATCTTTTGAGCCTGAGGTTAGAACTGGTTATATGTAGTCCAGAAGGATTTCAAATTGTTAAAAGATCCACATCTTTTTGATTTTGCTGAGAAATGGGCACATATAGACCGGAGTGACTTGACGCCTTGGGCTCGAGGTCCGATGCAACGAGCCCGACTGTCTCAACTGGGGAACGGGGTCGGACTTTATGGAGATCAAGTGATCGACACGACTGGTCAACAGCTCGGTCAACAAGAAATCGTATATTCGATTGAGATACGATCATGTCAACTAAAGTAAAACTATCAAACGATAAACTAAACCTCAAAGGAAAAACAGCTGTGATCTCAGGTAGATAAACTCTCTACAAATCCCCGCAAAAAACCCCGATGTTTGATTTTTGATTTAAATTTTGGTTTGAATGGTAAAGGTGGTACTCAAGGTATTGGAAAAGCAGTAGCTATTAGATTTGCTCAATTAGGAATCAGTCAAGTTTATCTTATTGGTAGAAATTCAAAATTAGGTGAATCTGTTTGTGATCAAGTTAAACAGATTGGTGAGAATCAAAATTCATTGAAAAGTGATTGTTTATTTATTCAAGCTGATCTTTCGTAAGTCATGATTTTTCTTTTCAACTGTTGTTTGTTTTCGGATTGATTGATTGGGTTTTTTTTGGTTTTTTTTTCCAGAACGGTTGAAACTATTAAAGAAACTGTAAAGAAGATTGAAAATGAAACTAAAGTTGATGGAATTGATTATCTCGTGATGAGTCAAGGAGGACCACCTAATGGATTATATGAAGAAACAAAAGACGGGTAAGTTGGTAGGAAAAAAAAGAATTTTCTCAAAGGTTTGGAAAAAAAAACGTCTGATGAGATTTGTGTTTCTATATATATAGATTTGATAAATCGTTTGCAGTACAAGTTCTTTCTAGATTCGGTTTACAGAACGGTTTAATAGAAAAAAATTTATTAAGATCCGATAGTACAATCGTTTCGATCTTATCACCTGGTTCTACTTATTCTAATTTAGATTTAAATGATTTATCTTTGAAAAAAGTTTATCAGAGTGGGGTTTGGAGAGCTTCTTTTTTAATACAACAAGGTAAACGAGATTCAATGGTGACTGATGCATTAACTTTAGTAAGTATCTTGATATTTCTTTTGATTATGGATTTGGAATTTAGATACCTTTTTCTGATTTTTGTTTGATTATCTTTTTAGTATTTTAATCGACAAAATCCTTCAATGAGATTTTATCATTTGTTTCCAGGTATGTTAAAACCAAACGGTTCTTTTTCTTTAAAACTCATTGGATCTAATGATATGTTTTTGTCGTGAATTTATGATGGGTTTTAAAGGTTATGTAGAAACTTCTGCTGCTTCGAATCGGAATTTACCGTTTCCGATTCCACAATTAGGGAACCTTTTCGGTCCGATCTTGGCTCGTACGATTGGTAATACTCCTCAAAGTTATTCAGATATTCCAATTTATGTAAGCTTTTTCCAATCTTTTCGGTTTTTTTTGAATATGACGAATTTGAGTTGAGAGGGGTTTTTGTTTTTCTGGATTTTTTTAGTTTGCAGCAAATCCAGAAGTCAAAGAAAAGTTTCAAAATCAAGTTTGTTTTAATGAAAAACTTGTACCGATCGAATCTTCAGATTGGTCAAAAGATCATTCAAATCAAGAATCAATTTATCAAAAACTTTCTTCTTTCTTTTCTTCTTGAATTGAGAAAATCATGAATTTAATCATCTTTTTTGTTTTTCTTCATTTTTTTTTTCGATACCATCAATAGAACTCTTGTATCCTTTAACACAAACAAATTGTCTTATTGATTATGTATGTAAAACACAATCATCTTGATCAAATCATGTGGGTTTTATCTGTTTTGATTCTTCTGAACTCCTAGTCTCTTCTAAGATTTAAGGATATAATTCTTGTATTCTTCAATTTTCAAAAAAAAAACTAATCTTATTGCTCATGTGTGTAAAAAAGAAGTGCATTGTTCAACACACAAATCAAGCTTAGAATCCAAATAGTAAATAGGTTTGTTGATTTCATTGAGGTGATATGAAAAACCAAACTCATAACTCAATAATCAAATTCCTTTCCATCATTTACAATACTTGGGATTCTGGCTCCCAATCAATCTTCTATTCAACCATTTGAAGGTACAAGTTGAAACAAAAGACAAAATGTGTTGGAGTTCATGTGAATGTGAAAAGTTAAATTGTTCATGAAAGTAAACAAAATGTGATGTGTGATGGTGCTTCACTCCCAAATCACAACTGAGGAATAGGGAACATGAGAAATGGTTTGGAGTTATGCTCAAGGTGATTGAATGGCACTGTAGCCTGTGAGTGTCAAATTGAAATGAATTGATCATGTTGAACTTGTAACCTGGTGTAGCCAACTATCAGATCCACCAAACAAATCAAAATTGTTTAAGGATTATATATGTTTAATTATGAATACATAGTGAAGCTTAATATTTACTCAAGGATTGAAAAGTTAAGAAAGATTCATTCAAGATTTCTTTAAACCACTTCAAAATTGACTACATTCAAAGATGATTCATTCTATTAGATTTATGTATACATAAGTTTTCTGCTTGTTTCATTTTCAATTTTTATTCAGCGCACCTTCACTCAAGCCAAAATACCTCCCATCAACCACCTAAACACTCCAAGACCTGTGTGTAGTGATATCATAGGGCCTTATAAGATCAGTATAAAAGGTACATGAGATTCATAACCTACCAAATCTACAAAAGTGCATCCAAAATCCTTACTGAAAATCCTTTTCTATTTTGCAAATAGAGCTACCTGTAAGATACAGGCTTAACTTCTTCTAGAGACCAACCTGGTAAGCTCATTGTAAGAAAGCTTCCAATGTATTACATCACATGTGGGAACTGTAAGGTAAGCCTACAGCCATTCTCAAAGTTGACCTGGTTACAAAAAACCTGGTTGAACCAGTTGACCTTCTTGCTGTGAGCTGTCAACAAATGCCAACTTGATACACAAAGTTACTACCAAAAAGCAACTGGGTCATCTGGGTTTTCTTGAAACTGGGACAACTTTGAGAACAGTTGATGAATCATGTCCTTTACCATATTCTTTTGAATATCATTTGACACACTTTCTGTCTTTTTGAATATTGTTTAGGTTACCTTGAAATTGAGAAACAGTGATGGCATCATAACATAAGTCATTCCCTTTATGTCCACCTCTTTGCTTCTTAACTTATCTAAACTCTTGAATTTTGGATTTTGAATTCCCATATTTTAGTACTGTAGATGGAGCTGAAAAAGCTTTGATCCAAATAATATGAATGTACACTACCAGAGGAGTAAGTCATAAAAAAGTCATTGTGAGCACCAAACAAGGTACAACTTGGCGATGAGTTCCATGGAGGGGAATTGTGAACAGGCATGAGAATTATGCTTGTAACAAGGGGTACCAAGCCACAGGGAATTCTCCCAGTGAAACAGAAAATGAAGATTTTCCACCAGTCTTGCTACCACACACTCTCAAGCAGAAAATCCTGGACACAACTCATTCTGCTCACATCTCAAAGTTTCTAAATATATATTTCATTTTGGAATATCACCCACCTTCCCAACAATTTTAAGGCCAACAGTTGTGCTGTACGAGACAAATTTTCTCATCCACACAAAGCAGGCAAGCTTCCGGCAGTGTCACTCCTGTAAAAGCTCTAGGAATCTCATACATGGTCTGGCATGACTAGGTCAGGTCAGTGTTATGATAGGGGTTGGGCAAAAAACTGACCAACCAGTTTTGCGCCTTTGAGAAGTGAGTCAAAGAAAGTCAAAGATGGCCGGAAACAACTGTGTGCAGGTTTCACAGACCTGTTGCTCTGCCAGGTCACTCAAAGTCAGTCTTTGGGTCTGAATGCAGGCCTTTTCAACTGAGCTGATCTCCAAAAGAGCCTAGGGGGTACCTGGGGTAGCTTTGTGAAAGGTGGAAAGGTGTTGTTTGTGTGGCTTGAGTGGCACAAATTGCTTTTTGTTATTAAATTGTTTGGGCTTTGGAATGATCAAGAACACCACCCAGCAGTCTCCTTTTGGTGATTCTTTTGCAAAGCAAAGTGAATGACAAGTTTTTTTGTTGGTTTTGATATCGTTTTTTGCAATTGTTCCTGAGCATTCCTAAGAAATTGAATCACAACTCAATGGACTTCAGAAACTGGTTGGTTGGTTTTTTGCCCAACCCCCAATATCTATATACAGTCAAACCTCTGAAATCCGGTGGGCTTGGTGGATGCCTTTTGGACCAGATAGCAGAGGTTATTGGATTTTAGAATTGAACTCCCTGCTAAAAACCCAACTTGGTGGACCAAAATTTGACCGCATATCAGATGTTATCGGATTTTTGAGGACCGGATTGCAGAGGTTTGACTGTATATATATATATCAAGCACAAATCCACAGAGAATGGATCTTTTTTTGAATGAATGTTCAATTATGGATTGAATTGAATTTGTTTTGGGTTGGGATGATTGTCTCAGTATGGTCAAATGGAAATTCCACTCCAACTGACATTTCAGGGTGAAACTGAGGAAATGGGGTTGTCAAACTTACTACTTATCTGGTATGAACATACCAAGATGAAACAGACTTTTGGTGCGAATCCCAAGGCCTGAGCCAAGGGGGATAATATTACTTGAAGAATAAAACATACACGCCCTCTCCGACCCGCCTAACAGGGTACGAGAAGAGTGGTGAAGTAGGAGAGGAAGGTAAACAATGTTGTCAGTATAATGTACCAAAAAATACCATAACAATTCATTCCAGCAATACAGGCTAAACGCCATAAAATTTCGCACAAGGTTAAGACCATTAAGCATTTTCCCGAAGGCTTATACAGCCATTAACCAAAAAAGAATATAGGCTAAAAAACCATTGACCTATTCCAAACACAAAACTCACTATTTGAATGAAACTTTTGATCCAACGTGAGACGTATGACCAATCACGTGATTTTGATTTTCTGGCAACCTGAGAGCTGCGTGACCCCGTACATAAATAAGGAATGCATCGGATGACCATCGGCCAGCACTTTTGACGTAGTCCATGGTTGCTCCAGCTTGTGCTAAAGCTGTAGCACCACCCGATCTTAAAGAATGACCTGAATAAGATTTGTCAAAATAGGAATGAATTTTTTCTAAAAACCATGAACGTGTTGGCGAAAGACCTTTAGATGTGATAAAAAGTTCCAGAGATGAAATGAAATTGATGTCTCTTGACCGAAGATAAGATTTCAAAAGACGAATTGGGCATGCTGATGTGTTTTCAAAATATTGAATAATGACTGGTGTTCCAATGTTTTTGGAATGCCTTTCGAATATGGGAGATGATATTGAACGAACTTTGTACACTGCAAAAACTGAAGAGAACAACGTAAGATAACTTTTCTTTCGTCGTAATGACTTTCTGAATCAGGAATACATAATTCCCCTAAACGATGAAGACCTCCAAACCCCAACCCTAACATCGCCAAGAAAAGCTTATTGTCATGAGATGTTGAAGATTTCTTTACTACCTCTTCAATTTGTTCCACAGATAACGCTTTCTTCCTAACTACCGGTTTTGATAAATTCTTCATACAATGTTTCATCGTATCAATGACCTCTTGACTTCTTGATTCACAAACAACTGATGGAAAATTTAATTTAAATATATGGGCGATACCTACTAAATATGCTTGGACTGATCTGGGAGAAATGATTCGACTAGAGTATGAAACGTAATCACATAAATTCTTGCTGTTCGGAATAAAAGGTAAACTAAATTTTGTACAGAATCTTGCAAAATTTCTAAAACCACACTTGTACTTAGCTAATGATATTTTCGCAACTGTAGAACGATGATCTTCATTTGAAAGTTTTCGAAGTTCTTCCAAAGTAATGTTCACGATTGACGAATTCTTTTTGGACTTACCCATGTTGTGGAACCTGAATAGAAATTTTGAACAGAGAGATTTTCCTCTAACCCCCCCGATGCCAGACTTGGATCAACTCGAAATGATGAAACTGATACCGCGTCTATTCGAACTCTAAGATCCTCCAATTGTTTCTCAGAGATATCTACCTTTTGACGTGACAAATCATCAGCAGATGTGTTCAGATCTTTCGAAATGTGCATGACCTTTATATCGGTCTTAGCATCCAACAGCCGAGAAACACAGTAGCGAAACAACGGTCTCACTATCCAATTAGGGCAATGCGAGTTGAACAGGTCGCATACTAATTTCGAATCTGAATTGATGAATATGCGCTTTGAGTTCCGTTTAATACCGTAATCGATCACACATACCACACCTAACAACTCTGCCCAGTAAATGTTCCTGGTAGGAGGTGGTAACACAGAAAAACGACCTATCCTCGGTAATGCACCGACCCGGCCCCAACCCGATGAATCTGAGCTGGACCGGGGCCAACCTCCCCCTCAGACCGGGCCGACCCGGTCCGCTAGCCCCAGTGATGTGATATGCTCAAAAACCAAAAAAAAACGTAAATATATGATAAATATATGATTTTTCGATTTTTCTTCTCTTCTGTAGCCTTTGCTGAAGCTATCCAGCAGCTATTCTACAACAAAGAGACAAAAAATTTGTTGTATATATATGATACTTGAAGAAATTAAGATGATTTTGGTAAAATTTGCCCCCTAACATATGCCCGGGCAGACCCGGCTTTACCCAG